CCCGGTGCCCTTTCCATCCCCCCCCCCCCCAATTCCCCGCTGCTCTTAAATGCGGTGGAGCGGACGGTAAATACGACCGGCTGTCGAGTTTGGTGAGAGCGCGCGGAAACGTCAGTGACGCCGCCACGACGGCTTTGTCGCACTCGTTTTTCTCCTCTCTCGCCATATCTCGAGTGAAAAGCCGACGCGCCACTCCTTATTTTCCTCCGCGTCCCCACCTCAAAGCTTCCCTCCATCGAGGAATTGGCCACCCCCTTCTGTGCAAATTAGCCTTGGACTTCCGCTACGTAATGGGCACGCGCTTTAAAATCATCCGCGGCCTCGAGATATGAGCCCCCTCGGTTATACTTTTCGTTTTTCCAAAAGGGGTTTACCAACCCATTACGAATTATCGTTTAGGAGAGAATCGGCAATGCCAGCTCTTAGACTCGTCGAGTCGAAGAGCCATGAGCGCGCGTTGCTCCTTTTTACAAGGGAAATGTTAAATTATCGAGCTCGCGCTTATCCTTCATTTCCCCCTGTTTTTCCCCTTCAACGCTCCCATCGATCCCCCCCCCCCCGCATTACGAAACATTAACGGCCACGGGGGAGCGATGCACCTAGCAGCGCTACGGACGGGACAACGATCGAAGTCCGCGATCCGACCTTACCAATCCACCTACTCGCACACTCGCATTAGACTTGATTTTCCCAAAGCGCCGTTTCATGCCCGCGCGACCCGAGCTTAAGAGAAAAACAGTGCCTGCACGTTGAACGGCTGCCGTTACTCGCTCGTTAAATTATTCGGCTATTTTCTCGTATTAGCATTTACGAGGATAAGAAACTTTGGCGTCCAAATGAATTTCCAGCGATTAGTCGAGTTATCTTTGATCGATAAGCCGAGAACGGACTGAGCGAGGTAAAAAGAGAGAGAGAGGTCGGACGAACGAGTTTGGCGCCATATACAATAGCTGCGTAGCCTGGAAAAACATAATAACAATTAATAGTCCACCTCTTCCTCCTAGCGCACACAATAAATGCTCTTATCATCAATTTTAATAGAAAAGCGTAGACCGTGGAGTAGTGGCGACCTAAGGAGACTGAAACGACGCTATTTCGAGTAGAGGCGTGTGCGCGTCGTCGCTACTAGAGCGGAAGAGAGGCTCACGCTCGAAAAAGGGACTTAATTAACTGGCCCCTCGTGCTCCAAAAAATTAGACATAGAGAGACCGAGTGAGAGAAAGAGAGAGAGAGAGAGAGAGACAGAGAGAGAGACAGAGAAACAGAGAGAGAATTTGTGAGAAAAAGGCTCGCATTTCCCATCGTCACTTAGTAATTTCACTTTGAAAACGGCCCGACGGCTACGAGTTTCGATCTCCCCCCTACCTCCACCCCTAACTCCACCCCACCGATAGCCCTACGGCAACACTGAATTCCGGACCCGCGTTCCCTGCGCGCATTACTCATGTCCCGCCTTCTCCTCGGCTTCATCCGATTATTCACAAATTCGTTCTCGATCGCGCAAACATATCCCGCCTCTGGCCCCTTGACACTCGTCATTTCCGCACCTGCACCCGACCACTGTCGATAGTCGACGATTCTCTCTCGATTCGCTCGCTCCTCCTTCCTCCGCATAATAATGAGCATTGCCAAGGCCGAGGTCTCGCGAACGACATATACAACCCCGTCGCTTCCACGGCTTTACCGACCGTTGCGAATTCTAGCGGCCCCTTGGCACGCGGCGCTCCTCTGTTTTTGCACGTTTGCTCCCCGCCTACCCCCCCCCCTCCACTCCACTCCCCCTATACGTTCCACACGCCATCGTCGCCAATTCTTCCACCTTTGTGGAATCGACCGAGGCGGCAAACCGCATGATTAAGGAGTGGAAATGCCTCGTTATCGGGGCTCCTTCTTTTTTAGGACATTTGGGAGTGAACAAACTGCTTTTTTCTTTAATCCAACATCGAACGTATTATATGCATTAGCTTACTAGGCGTCCCATATCATTTTCACGCATTTCTTTTTCAACCTCCACGATGGAGGACGATCACGCGAGTACTTTACTCGCGTAAAACGCTAGCAATTTCATTACCGAGCGGAATGAGCGACGGCGCCAAACCAATTGCTCATTTACATATCTGTGAGAAATTTTTAACGGCTCTCTTACGCTTCCTCGTAACGTATAACAAACAGTTGCAAATGCCCCGATATTACATATCCTGCCCGCACCTCCCACACCCATGGAAATGTACAATAATTTCCCGATAGGAGTCCATGCTGCCAACACGTACGCACGCACGTGTCACGATAACTCAAGACTAACGTATGAATTCGATCTTTTTCAGAAGAGTACTCAGACCACCCCAACGAGGTGGTGAAGAACGAGGAATTGACGTACAACGGGGCGAGCTCACCGAGACTGCGGTTCCTGATCCAGGAGCAGCAGCTCGCGTGGACGCTGGCGCTGCTGTGCGGCGCACTTCTGCCCCATTTGCTACGGTGAAGCGACTCATGGGCCACTGGTCGTCGAATCGAGCCTCGTCAACGAGCAAACTAAACAACGGAATAAAACCCCCTTCTTCTGTGATTGTAATCCTACGTTTGTAATTCATTTCCGCTGGAGCGCCGGTTCCGTTCTCGGAACGCACGAGCCTTCGCGTATCCCGTTGCGTGTATGCGCCTGCAACTACGACTATATATTTCCGATTAAAAACGAATGTGTGCGAGTATGCGCGACTCCGACCTCCCACCCATCCACCCACCCACCAATCCACCCACCCACCCACTCACGTGCCCCTAAACACCCCTCACGCCCTCACCTAACGCCGTTGTTGGTGGTTGTACGCTTATACGCGCTACCTCCCTTTTGTTTCATATCGCTCGTAAGGCCCAGCAATTTGTGTGTACGCGCGCGCAACTGCGGTTAAAGTGCGCGATGCGCTTGCCAGGGCGAAAGCGATCGTTCGACTGGGTGCGCGTGTTAATCGTTCGGAGAGGAGAAAGAGGAGTGCAATCTCGTGTCCTAAGAGAACAGTGGCGCGACAAAGGGCATACGGCGTTGAGAGAGTGACGGAGAGTAGCGTTATAGCGATGCGAGAGAGAGAGAGAGAGAGAGAGAGAGAGAGAGAGAGAGAGAGAACGTCAGCCATATTAACTCTTAATGTGAAATGATGAACACTTAACTACTAAGCACTACACTACCATAGTACGCCCATTACTATTGTCACTACTGTAAGTCTAATGAAAGAGACGGTAGTCGTATCCTGGTTGTCATTCATTATCACTGCGGTTATTCTGTAGGTATTTATTCCGAGTGCTAGGCGATTGCCTGTGCTGTGCGAAAAAACAGAAAAGTATCTTCGAGAGCGAGAAAGCGCGAGCCCCTCGATGAGAATACAAAAAAAATGAATTATTAAGTAAACAACGTGCCTCCTTACTCTTGTGCGCACTCTGCCGAGTGTGTTTGTTCCCTTACGTTATTTTGTTCATTATGTTTTTGTTTTTTATGTTTTTTGTTTTATTGTTTTTATTTGGTGTTTTTTTTTTTTGTTTTTTTTTTTTACCTTAAATTGCCTGGATCATGGAAACCTGATGTGACAAATGTGCTCTGAAGAAAGTGAGCCGCACTCGGGAGCAGTGCGCGAAGATCGAGCCACGCGACTAGGACTTACAAATACAAATGTAGAAAATAACTTGTGAAAGAAAGAGCGATAGAGCGAAAAGAGGTGTAGGGGTCGAAATTGCGCGGTGTGCGATACGCGTGTATTCATAAATCAATCGAATCGAAGTGGGAGGGGCCCTCGTCCATGGCCCTGTCCAGCCACTCTCCAACTGCGCCCGAAATCCACAACAATCGAAATCGCTTTGAATAATTATAATTTGTATCCATCGTCTGTGTTCCGAATCTCATCTATTATCATTTTGTCCTTACTACATTGCATACCCACGGTAGATCCATAACACGCGAACACACACACACACGCGCGCGCGCGCGCACGCACACACGCACACACAGACACACACAGACACACACAAACACAGCCAAACGCGCCTACGTGCATATGTAGACGCATAAAACGCGCGCGCGTGTTATGCATGGATAAATGCATTCCTACGTACAACACACGCACATACGTATATAAATATACTTGCATTCGTTCGACACATCCGCCGATATATATTTGTGTTCCGACTAATCGTTAGTAAAATGTAATTCCTTAAGATTTTCTTCTCGATTCACGGCGATTCCGAAATATGAAAATATGTAACCTACTTGTCGTAAGGGACAATGAGCGCGCGATTCAAGACAACGAGAGCACGAGAGCAAGTGATTGGTTGGTAGGAGAGGGCAGGCAGGAGGGAGAGAGCGACGGCCGTCGAGAATTGCGACGGGTGGTGAGGGGTGGTGAGGTAACGAAAGATAGAGATATAGAGATATAGAGAGAGAGAGAGAGAGAGAGAGAGAGAGAGAGAGAGAGAGAATGAGATTGAACTGACCGACAGCGCGCGCGCCTTAGAAAAATAAAACCGCATCATTCCATGCGAAGGAAAATAGAACCCGGGACATTGTCGTGGCGCACTCGGGCGCGTGTCCCGGGCGCAATAACGTAAATAATCTTAGCACGTCTCTATCTAAATAAAAAGAAAAAAAATTATTAAGAACGAGCTACGTAAATTCCTAATGAGCACTTCAGCATGAGCGGCTCGACGGGGCAGAGGCCAAATGGGGAGCGATTCTCGCAATGAGCGGCGGCGGTTCACCTAAAAAATAAGAGATTCCTCGGGCATCTCTGGGCGAGCATTCGAATGGAATGGATAAAAGTTAATTAAATAAAATGATTCAATGTCATCTTCAGTCTTTGTGAGGGGCGTGCTCGCGTTGTCGCTCGTAATACCAAGAGCGCTTTAACTAATAGGCGTTGGAGTACGACGATCTCAGAAAAGTGACAGAAAACCAAAAACAAAAAAAAAACAAAAAAAAAACAAGAATGAGAAAGAGAACGAGAAAGAGAATGAAAGGAAAGGAAACGAAAATGAAGATAGGAATAATACCCGAAGAAGGCGATGACGATGAAAGAACGAAGCAAAATCGGATCGAAAAGTGTGCCAGTGGACGCCGCGAGAATATTACGAGCTCAATGTAACTGTCAATTTCGCAATATTGTTCTTTGTGTTTAAATTTTCTGTTTTAATTCTAATGGTTATTTCGTGTGCGTTACTAAGCGACCATGACGATACGCGAGATCGAAAGAAAGAGAGAATGACAAAGATAAAGATATAGAATATAGTAATGCCTGTGAGTGAATGAATTGGGGTTGGAAGGGTGGGGGGGGGGGAGGGTGCGAATGGGAGAGACGAAGGTGCGAGAGTACGCGCGAGAATGCGAATGACAAGACGAAGAAGGATGATGAGAAAAGGAGACGGTGGTGAAGGCGGCGTAGAAGAAGAAGGTAGAGAGAGAGAGAGAGAGAGAGAGAGAAAGAGAGAAGAAGTCAGAGATGAATGGAGGATGAGGAGGAGAATGATTACATGGGGAACGAGTGTAAGAAGAAGAAGAAGAGTGGAACTGAAGCCGGAAGAGCAGGAAGAGAATTTATAACCGAAACTATTGTATCATAGCTGTATTATACCGAAACACCTAACTATAGATTTGTATTATATTTATTATCTATTAATATTACGACACTATGAATATTTACTCGATATTCAACATCATCATCATCATTATTATTATTATTATTATTATTATTATTATTATTATTATTATTATTATCATTATTATTATTATTATTATTATTATTATTATTATTATTATTATTATTATTATTATTATTATTCGTGGTAGTAGTAGTAGTAGTAGTAGTAGTAGTAGTAGTAGTAGTAGTAGTAGTAGTAGTAGTAGTAGTAGTAGTAGTAGTAGTAGTAGTAGTAGTAGTAGTAGTAGTAGTAGTAGTAGTAGTAGTAGTAGTAGTAGTAGTAGTAGTAGTAGTAGTAGTAGTAGTAGTAGTAGTAGTAGTAGTAGTAGTAGTAGTAGTAGTAGTAGTAGTAGTAGTAGTAGTAGTAGTAGTAGTAGTAGTAGTAGTAGTAGTAGTAGTAGTAGTAGTAGTAGTAGTAGTAGTAGTAGTAGTAGTAGTAGTAGTAGTAGTAGTAGTAGTAGTAGTAGTAGTAGTAGTAGTAGTAGTAGTAGTAGTAGTAGTAGTAGTAGTAGTAGTAGTAGTAGTAGTAGTAGTAGTAGTAGTAGTAGTAGTAGTAGTAGTAGTAGTAGTAGTAGTAGTAGTAGTAGTAGTAGTAGTAGTAGTAGTAGTAGTAGTAGTAGTAGTAGTAGTAGTAGTAGTAGTAGTAGTAGTAGTAGTAGTAGTAGTAGTAGTAGTAGTAGTAGTAGTAGTAGTAGTAGTAGTAGTAGTAGTAATGGTAGTAAAATATCAAATTTAATAGTGAATAATTGCGAAATGGAGAGCACGTCCAAGATAATAATGCGCCTGCTCCGTCTTGTTTTTATATTTACTTGAAAAAAACCGACGACAAGGCATTTTATCCAATCGCCAACGCACGATTTGACACCGTTCGTTTAACCCAATTTTCCTATACCCCGTCCTTAACTTTATTTTTTTAATCGCAAACTTTTATTTATTATACAGTGTCTACGAAATAAAATAAAAGGAAAAAAAAAACAATCAACAAAAAACAAACGTAAAAAATAAAAAGCAAAAAAAAAAAAAAAAAAAAACAAAAAATAAAAAAAAAATAATAAAATAAAATATAATCGAGGTACGAATAATTATTATTATGTGCTCCTCGTGTATGCCCCAGCGACCGCCTCGAACGCAGACAACAAACGTGTACTTTGAGCATTGCGATGTTCTATCCTGTTGACTTTGTATTGTTTGCCCTTACTTATCGGCCTCGAGCATATCAAGTTGTAAAAGTGCATTTTCCTTAATTATAACCATATGGAGCTGTAATGTCGGATGAGATTTTCCGTTTGATCGTTCCGAGTTCGAGGTGACCAATGAACGGAGATTGACTGTTCTGCGCCAATTAAAATTTGCGCGGCGATTCTTTTACGATTTTTATCTAGGATGTATAAAAATTATTTTATCCCTACTTTACTATTAGAAAATAATTTTTATATGTGTACATAAAAATTGTAAAATATGTAGCATTATATACATATGAAATTATAAAATTCTTATTTAAAAATTATTTTTTAGTTGTTTTTATTTTACTTTATCCATTATTATTTTATAAGTCAATGTGCATGAGTATTTGAGTTTGAGTCCTTAACCTCCTTTCCTTAAACTACCCCCCCCCCCCCCCCCCCCTCCCCCCCCCCAATCGCTCACTCGCCATCCGAGAACCATGACAATTGCTGTTTTTTTTTTCATCATTCTTTCTTCCTTCCTTCCTTCCTTCCTTCCTTTCATCCTTTTTCTTTTTTGTCATTATTTTTTTAAAATTTTTGTTTCCCGCGAGCTCACCACCTCAATGCCGAAAAATAAATAAGAACTAAAATCGATATATCAGTAACGCCACTAAAGGTCTTAATAAGCTATGAAATTCATAACCAACCGAAATATTTTTGTCCTTACGATAAGCTCGGCAAACCCAATCGTCGTATTACTATTGTAAATACATACGCTTAATGTACTACGGCCATCGACTTTTATATATCCCAAATTATATCTCTCTAATCAATGAAATGCTGATACGAATGGTTGATAAAAAACGCATCTAGAATTAATTAAAATTAAATTAAAAGATTGATATAAAATTTCAACGTTATA